ATTAATTATTATGGGTGTTCAATTAATAATAATGGTTCTTATTATTTCACCCAGTGTTGAAACCTGCTTAATATTTATTTACAAAGAATTTAATTGTTTTTTTCAGGATTCTTTGAAGTTAAAAAAAAGATTAAAAAAAAAATAGAAATCTTTTCTAACATTATAAATGTCTTTACTGTCACTTTTGATTAATATAATGTGTCTTTGCTAAATAATTATATACATTTCTTTTTTTCTTAATCTTTTGGTATCAGTTTTCCCAAAAATATTTAGCAACAAAAACTGTTTTCAACATTGATAATCAGAAATGTTTCTTAAGCAGCAAATCAGCATATTAGAATGATTTCTGAAGATCATGTGACACTGAAGACTGGAGTAATGATGCTGAAAATTCAGCTGCGCATCACAGAAATAAATTACAGTTTTTACAGATATTCACATAGAAAAGAGTTATTTTAAATTGTAATAATATTTCACAATTTTACTGTATTTTTGATCAAATAAACAGCTTTGGTGAGCATAAAATCATAATTATTACAAACTTTTGACCAGTAGTGTATTATTATAAGATCTCTTGTAAAGTCATTTTGTTGTGGAAGCAAATCCGTCCTCTGGTGTGTTCAGGCTCGCCGTCAGGTGATTATTGTTATGAAAGAATCTATTATGTAAGCAGAGCTCCTGCACAGACCCCAGGCGCCCTCTTCATACTCACCCGGCACAAAGCGGCTCATTCAGGGCCCCTCATTAGGCTGCGCTCCAGAAAACAGCAGCTGACCTCTCTGTCTCCTACCAGAACCCAAACTCACCGACCCACCACCAACCCAAACCCGTCCAAGTTCGCGCAGAAGTTCGGCGGCTCGGAGAAGTGCGCTCGCTGTGGAGAGTCTGTGTACGCCGCAGAGAAGGTGATGAGCGCTGGGAAGGTGAGGACAAGAATTGGACCTGGACACTAGTATGTGCTGTAGTACTTAAATGTCAACATCAGTCTTTACTGTCCTCTTGCACATACTAGTATCAATGCACGTCAATGGAGTACATTGTTACAGCAATAAGAGCAAACTGTTCCCAATCACACCGACACTCGAAATGAATTCAAATATTTCGAGAATTAAGAAACATGTTTATTAAGGTTTCTTGATATTTGTTGATCTAGATCAGTGGTTTTCAACCACAGGGCCAGGGATTTAATATAATTGATCTAATAGAATTACTTTATTTAAAAGCAAAACAACAACAAAAAACCCTAACTTAATTAAAATGCTAACAACAACAAAAAAGAAAACCTCTAGAATCACAAAATGAATTGTAGTTCATTAATGTACCTATATCATCACTCAGTTTTTGTTAAAGGGGTCATATGATGCTGCTAAAAAGAACATTATTTTGTGTATTTGGTGTAATGAAATGTGTTTATGCGGTTTAAAGTTAAAAAAACACATTATTTTCCACATACTGTACATTAGTGTTTCTGCTCTATTTGTTAATAATATATATTAGTATATATAATAAAATTATATTATATTAACATTTAACTATATCAGGGTTACTACTGTTAACTAAACGATAAAAAAAAAAATTTAAATAAAAAAAATATTTTCTTATTTAATTTAATCTTGCCATATTTCTCATTTTTGATTAGACTGACTTAAAGTATTAAAATAACTAAAAAAATTTAATAAAATTATGAATTTATTTAATATATATGGTTGTTTTATACATTTTTATATTTTAAATATAATTTTATTTTAATTTGTGTTTTGTTTCAAGTAATGGATTTTTTAAAAATGGTTTTAGTTAATGATATACTGATATGCATTCAACTAATAAATATAATATTATTACATGTGTATTATGCATAACGCATTCTGTTGCGATCGGGTTACTACTGTTAACTAAACGATAAAAAAAATAATTAAAATAAAAAAATTATTTTATCTTATTTAATTTCATCTTGTTGCCATATTTCTCATTTTTGATTAGACTGACTTAAAGTCAAAAAATAAATAAAATTATGAATTTATTGAATATATATGGTTGTTTTATACATTTTTATTTTAAATATTATCATTTTATTTTAATTTGTGTTTTGTTTCAAGTAATGGATTTAAAAAAAAAATGGTTTTAATTAATGATATACTGATATGCATTCAACTAATAAATATAATATTATTACATGTGTATTATGCATAACGCATTCTGTTGCGATCACACACAGAGTGACATCACCTGTATGATTCACTCTTTGTTTAACACGTTTACACAGACGTCACCGGGTTCAGAAGTTCACCTCCAGTTTACACTTTCTTTGTCTTCATGAGGGTTTGCAGACGCTTGTACACATCCGCTGCCAAAAAAACCTCTCCAGCAGATCCGAGTGTGAAGCGTTTCGTCCAGTTTGTGTCTTTCTCGGTTTAATCACCAGGAAGTCATGAGCACTTGATGTCAGCTGGTTAGACTCATCTTTTCTTTATCTGAGCTTCATGACGGCATGGTTTTCTTCTCTCGTCTTTCTTCCAGCCGTGGCACAAGAACTGCTTTCGCTGTGCCAAATGTGGGAAGAGTTTGGAGTCGACCACTCAGACGGAGAAAGATGGAGAAATCTACTGCAAAGGTCAGATTTCTGTCGAGTTTAATTGGGTTCGACACTCCTGATCTAAATGAGTCTCAGTGGTAATAGACAACATTAAAGGGATAGTTCACCCAAAAATGTAATTTACTGTTAATTTACTCACCCTCAGGTCATTGATTAGGAAATAATATGGCAAAATATTTTAACCTCGTCTAAAAATCCCACCCACCAGCTGATAAGCTACAGTGTAGTTCATAGAATATATTATACACCCTTGAAACGTTTTAGAATGAAACTTATTTCTTCCCCTGTGTGGGACAAATGTAACACTATTCTGGGAATGTCCCCCGATCTTCAACTTTAAGGTTAATGTCTCCGCTATTTTATCACAACTTTTGGAACTGACGCTTGATCCTGATCCTTGTCTTTTCCTTCTTAATGATGACTCTTCAGTATCCCTGACTTTAAACCAAAAACCAACTGCCTTCTCAGGGTTAACAGCTGTGAAGAAAACCGTTTAGTTCTTGGTTTCCTTCTAATTCCCTGTCAAAACACCTATTTTTAGATATTGTTTGTTTGGAGAGATCCACCGCCTTAATGAGCAAATTAACAGCAAAATTATTTTTTTTTGGGCAAACTGTCCCATTAAGATAAAGAATAAACTGAAATATTCCATAAAGCATCGTGACCAGCATCTGAAGCTCACGGTTTTGAGGCCAGTGTTTGTTTGTCATATACATGCAGGATGTTCCTCTGATAACGGAGCAACATCAAAACCAGAGGCTGAATAACTCCATCAACCAGAAACTCTTGAATGATTACGATCAAGAGTTAGCGTTTAGTCTGCTGTAATGACGCAACATCTGAACTGAAGGCTCATCAGTTTTGAAGGCAAACCTCTTCTATGACACATCGCTCACTAATTCACTACATTTGTGCTTTAATTTCTTCTTCGTTTCTTTTTTTCAGCATGTTATGCAAAGAACTTCGGACCAAAAGGATTTGGATACGGTCAGGGAGCAGGAGCTCTGGTTCACGCTCAATGATAGTCAGGACTTTGCATGTTTCTTTACTATTATAAACACAAGGTTGTTACTCATTTCAAAAGAAGAGAATGATTATTTTGCATAAAGAAAAAGGAAAATTAAGATAAAGGCCGTTAAGCGTTATATTTTCATGAAAATTAAGCACATTTCCTCTCCAATTCTCATTACCATAAATATAAAACATTGATTTTAAATAATTTATATTAAGTACTTAATAATATAAAGCATTTTATATAAAATATAAGAATTTGTTGATTTTAAGTATCATATTTTTTTCTGTAATACAAAAAAGTAGTGAAATTTGGGAAAATGTCACAATCCAATTTTCAAAAAAAAAAAAAATTTTTTTTATGTATATATATATATATACATACATACAATGGCTCTAAGAAATAAAGTTAATTTTCTTTATGCAAAATATTATTTTTTTAATATTGTTCATAGAGGACCATTAATTGCCCCCCCAATAATATAAATTATTTTATATACAATTATTTTATATAATATTATATTTTTTGTAAAACAACAAAATATCTACTGCATTACAGTAATGAGAATTTAGGAAAATTTCCCAATCCTTTTTTATTTTGAAAAAGTTATTTTTCTGCATGCAATATGCTAAATATTTTTTAACCCTTTACAGAGTGTTAATTGTTTATAGAGGACCATTAAGTGTTATATTTTCATTACAATTAAGCACAATTATAATTACCATAATGTAAAAACATTAAAAAAATAAATTTAGAATTAATAATAATACAATGAAGTATTTAATATAAATTATTTTATATAACAAATTGTATGAATTTGATTTGAATAAAATACTGAATTACAGTAATGAGAATTTGGGAAAATGTCAATCATTCAAAAAAAAAAAAGGTCCTAAAAATAAGGTTAATTTTCTTTATGCAAAATATTCTTTTTTTTTCTCACCCTTTACTGGCGTTAATGGTTCATAGAGTAGTCATTGTATGAGTATCTACATTTAGAAAACAAACATGTTCAATGTGAAATAAACACTTGTTTCAGTGCACTTTGCTTCTGTCGTGCAGTGATATTGAAAACTAACCCACATGCCTTTCACCTTCGAATGTTTTATTAATAAAGCCATTAAAATTGAACCATGCCCAATAAGTTACATCTGAAGCAGAGTAGGGTGACGTCCTGATCTCAGCTGAGGCACTGGAGATGAGCATGTGCTTTTCACATGGTGGGAAAACAGCCGGCAGAGGAACAACAGAGTGAATATATTCTCTAAAAACAGTGTCACATGTATGAATGAACGACCGTCACTGTGCCTAATCTGAATATTACAGTATGGGGCCCATGGACCGCGTCCGCTTGAGTTACAGCGTGGCTTATGTCTACTTCTCTGGCATTTACAGTTTGTACATCCAGTGGTACAACAAACTCAGCAATGAAACATACAAAAGAAACCCTTTAGGCTCTGCATAATAATCAACGAGAATGGGACATTCAGATATAATACATCTGCAGAGCACCGATCGGCCGCAGAGCATGAGGGACACGCAAGAACGATACACACATCGGGTTTAAAATGTAAAAACAAACAAAAAAGAATTAAAAAAAAAAAAACCTGGTTGCAAATACTGAACATTCACTATTTACAGAGTCTTTCGGATGATAGGGTGATCACTATGTCCAGGCTTCACACATGCAGTGGAGACTTGCAAGGTCAAAGGTCTATACACAGCAGTGCCAGACGCCACTAAAAGCTACAGTCATACACTTGGATAATAGATGATTTTTTTTTTTTCGCTTTTTGGTAAGATAAAAAAATTAGGAGCAGCTTCAACTAACACAGACGAAAATAAAAAAACGAACGAAATTCACTCACAGAATAATGAATCTAGTTCATTTATGTACAGATGCACATTCTTTACATCAGTTCATCCTGTCAGCTGCTGCTGCCATGACAACGCCACACCAACAGGAAGAGGAAATGGAGAGCAAAAGGGGGAGGAGCTTCCTCTTTTTACGTAAACATGAAGATCCCTTGGCGACGCTGGGGAAACGAGCTTGTTTCTTTAGTAACGACGGAACAAAACTAAAAAAAGATCAGTGCATTGTTTTAGGCAGACGAATAATGTCGCTGCCACAAAACAAAAAAAAAGGTAAATCATGGAAGGAACCCCTCTGGTGTGTTAAACGGCATCTTCCTTTAAGTTCATACAGCTATCAGGTCCACTTAATGGCTTTTCAACAGCATTTCAACTTTAAATGTATATACTTCCTTAAACTACACATACATAATAAATATAGAGGTTCACATACGAGTGTGTTATTTCTTGTAAATTCAGAGGGCACCTGGATTACTCTCATAAACGCATCAAGAACGTGTCCAGGTCACATTTCAACCTAAAATGTAAAAAAAATTTTTTTATATGTATATATAATATGAAAGTGAAGATTGTTCTGCATTATTTTAGCATTAAACTGATGTAAATTCTGCACACTTCTCTCCCAGTGCTCATTACCATAATGTGTTCAGACGTTTTTTCTATAATTCTCATTGTAATACAGTGTTTTTTAATTGTTTTACAGTAAACAACGGCTGTAATACAATGATTTAAAAAAATAGCATAATTTAAAGGCAATATAATATAAATACTTTGATATTTAAATACAGTAATGAGGAGGTTTTTGTGCATGTTGTTAATGAGAATTATGGGGAAAATGTGTTTAACTGTCATGAAAACAATAATACAATGCAAAAACTACTAAACAGGCTTCATTTTCTCTAACCAAAATATAATCTAATATGTTTTTCTTTTGATTTTGGGGTGAAATATGACCCGGCTTTATCTTCTTGACACGTTCCGTAGGATTCACTCCACCTAAACTATTAAAACATGCTGCAAATGTACACATATGTGGAAATGAAGATGTAAAATTACCTCATGATACCATAATTACTCTTCGAAAAATACTACATAAATAGGTTAAAATAAATATGTTAAGTCACATTATTTAAACAGGGCATCTCTCTAGTCATATGAATGCGTGTCAATATGATGCCTGTTTTGATCGGATTCATGATCAGACAAATCAAGGCAGCTTGAAGGAATCGTTCACCTAAAAATGTAAAGTTGTGTTATTTACTAATCATCATGTCGTTCCAAACATCTATGCGTATTACTCTCTGCATAGAAATTTTGGGGAAAAAAACAAACAAACAAAAAAAAACCCCGCTTTTTACTTATATGGAAAAGAGCAGCCTAAACATTCTGCTAAACATCTTCTTTTATGTTCCACGTAAGAAAGTCAGTCATACAGGTTTGATGCGACATGAGGATGAATAAATAATAATAAAAGTCTAATTTTGGCCAGAACGATTCCTTAAAACCACAAACACCACAGCGGCTGACGCTTTTGCTATGCTAATTCTCATTCCTACGCAAAGTTCCAGGTTGAACCAGGACTTACGCAGATCCGATATCACTTTACAAGCAACAAAAAAAGGGGTCACAGGAAGAAAACCAAAGTTAAACGAACGTAACCAAAAAGCAGTCGATGTGCAAAACAAACCACAAACGTCTCTGCTGACCAATCGAGGAGAGTGGGTTGTACTGCGTCTGCCTCTGATGTCATTAAACTCCTCCTCTTCCTGTTCCTCGTGTCCCTGCGTCTCGGGTGGAGTTGGTGACGGTAACCAATGACAGCATGCGTTCTCCTGACTGGGTGAGGTTTGCAGTCTCGGTGAAGGAGATGGTCCCGCTTGAGCAGCACTTCAGGAAAACCTCTCCCCTCTTCTCCTTCTTGCGCCGTCTTCTCCTTCACCGCGCTACACCAGCTGGTATCCTGAGACGTCTGGTCGTACTCTATTGTGTACTGGGAGGTCCAGTCTACCACCACGGGCCGCAGCAGACCGCAGCAGCGCAGCTCGAAGAAATCTATGAGGTTCCTCATACAACCGTGACTGCGCGAGAACAAAACAGAGGAGCAACGTTATCTTCCCGAATGTTGCCACAGACAATAATGACTTCCTAAACAAATGTTCTTACTTTTGACTAAACTGTAAGACCACATAGCCTTAATTGAAAATTTCAGTTTAATTTTCAGTAATGTTGCTTGCTTTTGTCATTTGTATTAGTTTTTGTCCATTATTAATTTTTATTATTGTTCACATACTTCTACATAGTTTTATTTCAATTATAGTTTTAGTTAGTAATTTTAGTAGTTCAACTTAAACTTACTAACTTTATTATCTGAAACAGTGTTATAACTTCAATGTTTTATTCATATTTTGAATTAGCTTTTCAATATAATTGAATAGCAATTATTTTTATGTTCTGTTTAAATGTAATTTTTTTGTGCATTATTCATTTTTATTAGTCATTGTTCAAATATTTGTGAATAGTTTTATTTAAGTTCTACTCAAGTTTTAGTTCAAGCTTTATATTAGTAATTTTAGCACTTAAACTTATTAACTGAAATAATAAAAAAACATTATTATCTGAAACAGTGTTATTTTAGTATCATGTATATACTTTGTATTAATATTCTGAATGAGCTTTTCAATAGATTTGAACAGTATTTATTTTTATATTTTCAGTTTATTGAAAAAAAAAAAAAAAATTTTTTTTGTTCATAATTCATTTTGTAAATTGTATTAGTCATCGTTCAAATATTCCTAAATATTTTTTATTTGGTTTTAGTTTAAGTTTTATTTCAGTTAGTAATATTAGTAATTCAACTTAAAATTATTATTATCAGTTAGTTGCAAGGCAAAATAAAGTTTTTCATCTAATATTTTATTTCAGCTCTATTTCAAGTAACACATTTTTTTCTTAAAAGTTTTTTTTTATCAATAACAAAACTGCCAACATTTGATTTTATTATTATTTATTTTTTTACTTAAATAGCTTATAAGCACTAAAACAACCAACTCCAAGTGATTTGTCATCATTAAATTATATTATATATCAGTACTACACCGACCATCAGCCACCCTTTATCTATAGATATTAACATTATTATAATGGGAGACTTTTTGAATGAAAACATATTCATTACAGGTAATTCACTTAATCGAATTGGATCTTCCCCCAAATTGTTGGTGTTCAAACAAGCACTAATAGGATCATTTTCGAACAGTATATAGATTATATTCTAAAGACTGTACTGATGATGAATACACAAATCAATCGTCTATAAAATGTATTTATGGTCATGGCCGCTTGACAATCCTCCTCTGTGTTCAGTGCTGTATAGATAAACTTTTCCCAGCTCAACCTGAAATGAGTTTAAAGGACTCACTTGAAAGGGCTCTCAATGGACGTGGCTGTAACTTTAAAGTGCTTATATCTTCTGGCGTTCATGCGCTCGTTTGTAGTGATGCCCAGAACAGCGATCTATGGAGGACACATCAAACATACACATCAAACAATCTGTTCCAAACCCTAATGAGCCGACTCAATTTCTACAGGTCAACATGCCGACTGAAATGGATCCTCAAGACCTAAACAAAGGCCTCTGAAAATGTAGCCTAGGTAGGCAGCTCTCTTGCTTTTGCAACAGATCTAGACTTGAGCATACATTACCTGATAGAGCTGGCACATGATGAGTACAGCGACCCACATGAAGTGAAACACACTGTTGAGAAACATCCAGAACATCCACGGCGAGCAGTTGGCGATCTGCGTGATGTAGATCCAAAAGCCGTCTTTAGTGTAGCTGGTGGCACAGTGAATCCTCCAGTCTGCAGAGACAGAGCGCAATCACAATCAATCCTTATAAATACTACTAATGCAAAAAAATCAGGTAACATTTAGTTCTCATTTGTTAATATTAATTAAAAAGACAGTTCATCCAAAAATGCAAATTCTGTTATCATTTACTCATCCTCATGTCGTTCCAAACCTGTATGAGTTTCTTTCTTCCGTTGAACACAAAAGAAGATATTTTGAAGAACGTTGGTAACCAAACAGTTGACGGTAGCCATTGACTTCTATAGTATGGAAAAAAAATACTATAGAAGTCAATGGCTACCGTCAACTGTTTGGTTACCAGCGTTCTTCAAAATATCTTCTTTTATAGGTTTGGAATAATTTGAGGGTGAGTAAATGATGACAAGATTTTCATTTTTGGGTGAACACTTTGTGCATTAACTAACATGAACTAACAATATTTTTACAGCATTTATTAACCCTTTTTAATGATAGTTCACAATGCATTAATGTTAACAGATACACATTTTTATTTTAACAATGAATTAGTAAATGCTGAATCTAAATGATCTTTAAGTATTGTTCATGTTAACTAATGTAGATAACACGTTAACAAATGAAACCTGTTTGTAGAGTGTTACAAAAAAGGAATAGTATTTTAATTTGAAAGTGATTTATATTTATTTATCATTACATTGATCGTACAAAACCATGCAAAATAGTGTACTCACAGCAAATGCATCCGTACATCATCCAACAGATCATACACAACAGGAAGAACAAGTAGCCCATAAAGTAACGGTGGTTTCCACTTCCTGTCCACAAACAATGAGGAGAAAAACAGAAGGAATGAATCACACCTCCTACTTCACATTCCCTCAACTATCTGCCTTAGGCTCAAATTAGTCCAATTAGTCACAACAGTGAACAATTTCCTGGCAGAACATCTGACCCAATCTCTGACTTTTTGTGTTAATGTCAGGTGGAAGATAGGGATGTTCACTTTAACCGGTTAACCGTTAACCGACCGTAAGAATTTTTGACTGATTAATTAGTGCTGGGCAGTATACCGGTTCATACCGAATACCGGTGTTTATTTTTGTTATGATATGAATTTTTAAAATACGGAAGAGCATGTGAGGTGGATGGTTGGTGGGATTCAATGTAGGAATATGACTGTAAAACTCACCGACGCAGTTTCCAACCCACGGGCAGTGGTGATCAAACTTGGCGATGCATCGATTGCAAACAGCGCAGTGTTTCGATCTGATAGGCTTCCGTATCTGTGGAGAACAGGCCGTTAAAGTGAGTGTTTTATGTGCGGACACCTTGATGGAAATTGCAATGCAAATCAGACTGTTGGGTCATCAGCTGGCCAACGCTGACTGTGTTCAAGCAGTGGTGTGCAGAATGGAAAAGAGTCATAATTACCAAACAGGTGCTGCAGAATATGCTGAGATCCAGACAGCCTGTTTCTGCCAATTCAACTATAGTCTAAAAAGAGAAGAAAGAGACATTTTCTCAAGTAAATGTGAGTGGTGCTTTCCTGTGCATAAAGCATTGATGTTCTTGATGGTTGTTTACCGGCCCAAGTTAAAGAGCCCTGAATCATAGCTCAAAGATTTGGAGAAATGTAGCATGACATCACTTTCTCACCAATGGATGCTCTGCAGTGAATGGGTGACGTCAGAATGAGAGTCCAAACAGCTGATAAAAACATCACAATAATCCAAAAGTAATCCACACCACTCCAGTCCATCAGTTAACAAATTGTGAAGCGAAAGGCTGCAGGTTTGTAAGAAACAAATCCATTAAGGTGTTTTAACAAAATTGTCAATTCTGGCCAAAATATGAGTCCATAATCATAACGCTTCCTCCAGTGAAAAAGTCCATCTCCTGTTGTCCTCTTACATCAAAATCACCAACATATTCGTTTAGCGATGCTTTGGCATATTTTTGCTTGTAATCTGTGCATATTTCTCTCCTGACTTTTTCACAGGAGGAAGCATTATTATGGATAGAGGAGAGCTTTTTGCTTCACAAGGCATTAACTGATGGACTGGAGTGGTGTGGATTACTTGTGGATTATTGTGATGTTTTTATCAGCTGTTTGGTCTCTCATTCTGACGGCACCCATTCACTGCAAAGGATCCACTGCTGAGCAAGTGATGCAATGCTACATTTCCAAATCTAATCTGATTAAAAACTGAACTTATCTACATCTGGGATGACCTGAGGTTGAGTAAATTTGCTGTAATCACTGCTGAACTTGTTTGCAGTTTGAGATTTTACCTTTTTCTTCTGCTCCTCGGATGCTTTGATGATACCAGGGTCAGACTTCCAAGACTTGCCAAAGTTATAGAAGAGAGCCAGACTGTTGAGCAAGAAGGGCAGGTGGACGGTGACGAACGGGAGATGTGTGGAGAGTTAAGGAAGTTATGTTCAATATGACACAGCAAAAGAATCAACAGGGTTAATACAATTTTGGACCAATCAATTGAATCAGACTGATTTGAATGTATCATTCAGACCAATCTGTGAACTGGTTCAAGTAATTCAGTGAAAAGAAGCTTTAAACAAAGGACTGTTTGAATTCACTCTGAAAGTTCCGTGGAATTTTGAGCTGCAACATTTGAATGTATTATTTCTTTAAAAATGTAACATTTCCTGTTTGACTTGTGGCTTTGACGTCTGGATGTAACATGAGCATCTCCATCAACCAGAGAACAGTATGTCCAGAAAGACACTAACAAATGCAGAAAACCTGTTTCTCCTGTAAGCGGCTCGGTGGTTTCGCTGAGCTGAGCTGCACACGGGCAACAATTACAGCAGGAAACAAGGAGCTCAATCCTCAGAGGAGATGCTCTATTGTTGGATGATAAAGGCGAGAAGGAAACTGATCCACACAGAGCTCTTGAACTGATTTCAGCTGCAGGGTTTGAGCGCACTGCTTCTATTCCTGAAGCACCTGGACACACGGCGGTTCTGTGCACACTAAACATCACTCCACGACCTCCAATTACAGCCACACAAACCACATTTCAGCAGCTTCATTCGAGAGGCAGATCCAGACATGAGTCACGTCTTGAGTGGTTTGATCAGGACAGGGGGAAATGCTTCAGCTTTGGGAAGAAATCCTCTTTTACCACTAATGTCTGACAGCACAGAAATGCAACATTGTCATTACCAGACAAGAACTCGGCTTTCTTGTGTTTGTGCTTGCGTTCTCTCACACCTAATGGTGGGCGTCATGAACAGAATCTCATATCACAGTACGAGTAATTATATATCACAGTGATCATTTATAGCACAATATAGTTATTTTTGCTGGAAATTCAACAAAAAACTGTTTATATGTTTATGTATTTAATGACCATACAGAAATGCCAAACGTTGGATATTCCATCGAAATAAATACATCACACATGAAAAGTGCTTCATCTTATTAATACTTCTTGATAAAATTGATGGATCAGCTGTTTGGACTCTCATTCTGATGGCACCCATTCACTGCAGAGGATCCATTGGTGAGCAAGTGATGGAATGCTACATTTCTCCAAATCTGTTCTCAACTGCATTTATTATTTTGCAGAACTTTGTTTTGTGTCTATCTCAGATGTAAATAATGTAACGCTTCACGCCGCACCAATAGGCCAGTATTTGACACATTTCTACCATTGCACAATACATACTGTCAAGCTGCCCAGCCCTTCTCTCACCCACACTATATCACTTAAGGTGTCAAATTCATTACATTTATTGTGCGTTTCGCCTGATAAAAATTTCCATGGAAAATTAGGCAAATCCATGTCAAGCCTGTCAAAAATTATGCATCTGCCCAGAATTTTACACATACAGCACAACTTGAAACAAATTATCTCCAGAAAAACCCACTAATTCATGTTGGCGTCAGTAAACCTAGGGTGAAAGGGGGATATTTTCATCTCAGTTTATGTTTTCATAAAGTGTAAATGGATGAAAACATTCAGACACTGGAGCGTATTGCTAAACTTCATATTTCTATCATCATTTCCTTTCATTAAGTCTGTCAGACCGAGTGAACGTTTAAACAAAAAAGCTTCTCTACCAGATCATTTTCAGATCTTTCAACACTGAAAAGTGAGATATTGCCATATAAATTGCGTCACTTCAGCGACCCAGTTTTAAGTTTCATGTCGGGAAAACAACAAAGACAGAAAGAGAAGATGTTTTCAACGGAAGATATAAATTTCTTTAGCTCTTGGATAAAAAGTGGCCTGGTTTCCTGCTGTCAGCATTCTTATCCTGATATTCATCTGAGTCAACAAACATATAAATGGATGCTTATGTGAATCACTAAGGCAAAGGCTGGATTTGTTGCTATTGCTGATAAATGATGCTGTGTCAGAAGAGCTAAATACAATATTCTGATTAAGTGGGTTTAATCAACCTGATTGAGTCGCATCAAATCCTTATTATGATCATCAAATTGACAGCACAGGATGGAGCGACTGAAAGGATATCGTTCCAGAACCAATAAAACCAGGTGATGTACATCCAAAACTTAGTGGCCAGATAGATGCCCAGAGGAAGAGCGCTATGCATGGAGTGATCAAAGAAAGACCTAGAAACAGAGATCAGTGTTAGTGATGATGCTTCGCATTCACATTAGAATGCATTAAAAGCCTGAGCAGCACCACAGATGGGTATAATGGTGTCGTACTTGGACAGAAACTGCACGACGAGCCACACCGCTGCATACATCCCACCCTTGATGAGCCAGGAGTCAATGTCCAGATCGGCGATAAATCCCACCAGCCAGATCACCAGGAACGGAGTTCCCAACATCACCTTCTGTCTGAACTCCTGCAGACGGACAGAGAAACGTCTGAGTGTATGCAATACATTTCAATTTCTCCTTAATGGTAATTGATGAGTCAGAACAGGCAGTTTCAGTTGCTCTACCTTGTCCATTTTAAGCCGTTTCAGGTACGAGGGGCTGTCGTAGCCTTTGGCCTGTCTGGCCTCCTGCAGATGATTTATCATCCACACATTTTTCCTCTGTTTGGCCAGATCCAGCGGCGTCTCCCCCTGCCACCAACAAATATTATTAAATGTGATGTACACCAGTGTGGTTTCATTAACTAAAACTATTAAAAACATTTGCATTAACTTAAAATAAAATACAATAAAACATAAAAATTAGATAAAAAAAAAAAAAAACTAAATTTTTTTTTAAATGTTGCCTTGGTAATTTACTGAAATAGGATTAAGTACTAAAATACCTGACAACTACAATTAAAATGAAAACTGAAAATACAAAAATAAAAGCTAATATATAATATTAATAAAAACTATAATTGTAAATAAATAATACAAAAATTACACTGAGCATTGTGGCCGACGGCTGAATTTCTGCAATGGAATTTATTTTAATTTTAAATAATCTTTACTAAAATAATTAGAAATAATTAGAAAATTAATTCATTTAAAAAAAAAACATTTGAATCTGCTAATAAATATGTAAAATAGACTGATTTATATTTTGCATAGCAACTTCTGATTCAGTAATCCTATTATAGTGTTTTTCACAAATCAAGAAGCTGAACAATACCCAGTAAAAGGAAGTAAACACTATAACCAACAGTCCGCACTGTAATTTGGTAAGTTAGTGCAGTGGTTCCCAACCCTGGTCCTGGAGGCACCCCAACACTGCACATTTTGCATGTCTCCTTTCTCTGCCGCACCAATTTCAGGTCTTGCAGTCTCTACTAATGAGCTGATGACCTGAATCAGGTGTGTTTGATTAAGGAGACATGCAAAACGTGCAGTGTTGGGATGCCTCCAGGACCAGGGTTGGGAACCACTGAGTTAGTGCATACTGGAAATCATATTTTCTCAAATAAAGACCAGATAACCCTGATTTTACATACAACATTCAGTAAAAAGGCGATTTTATGCAGGCTGTGCACACAGGAAACTCAAACAGCTGGAGTTGGCGAGGTTTGAGGCATTAAATATTTATTAAATATTCAAAAACTTGTTTAAGAGAGGCATATTTGCTGAATGCAGACAGTATATAAAAAGTATAACAGCATTTGCCGTTCAATTACCAGAAAGAACTATTAAATAAAGATAATGAATGATGATGAAGAAAAGGAAGCTCCTGTGCATCTGTCCAAATAAAAGTCCTGCATCCGACACTTACGGGCCGATGCTGATAATGAAAAAAACTAAAAAAGCAAATATGTACCACTAATCTACACAGTTCAGACGCTAGTGTAGGCGTCTGGACTTTACCTTGATGTTCTGTGCGTCGACATTAGCATTAGCCTCCAACAGCAGGCTGATGACCGTAGTGTTTCCGGCCAGAACCGCCCAGTGCAGAGCCGTGTTCTTATGATACTTATCACCCAGATTCACAGACACGTTAAACGTCAGCAACAGCCGTGTCGGGTCAACACTGCAGAAATCCCACCTATTAGCTTTACATCTCACAATGGCAAAATAATATATTTCCTTTCGTAATACACACACCTGTGCATCCGATAAGCCGCCCACATCAAAGGGGTCATGCCATTCTGATCCATCATATCCACATCCTGGAAAATACAACACAGAGAATACTTAAAAGTAAGATCAGACTGAGATCAAATACACCATCTTTCCTAGCGGTCAAACTCCTGTGGATGGAAATGTCATAAATGCCCCCTGCAGGCTGAAAATAGACCAAGCACGACAAAATGCATGATAAATCGACTATTTTGCATGCTAATAAACAGTATTGAGCGATAAGGCATTCTCATCATGTCTTCCTGAGTAGCTCACTGACTCAAAATCGCAATCAAAATATTCTGATTGGCTGTGACTTTGACAGCTTTTGTTATGAGATCAGCACCACACAGAGCGTTATATAAGCGTTAAACAAGCGTACCTGTCCCTTGGCGATGAGATACGCTACAATGGAGGTGTGTCCAAACTGAGTGGCCAGATGCACACAACTGCATCCCTCGCCATCGATGAGAGACGGATCAGCGCCGTACTTCATTAACTGCACCACCATGGAGAGATGGCCCTGTCTGAATGAGAGAGAGTAGGCGAGAGGTGTGTGCATTAATAAAACATCACACACGCAGTATTGGCATGCTTGCACTAATTTTGAAGTGTGCACACTATGCATATTTTTTAATGCATTGAATAAGTGGATAACCTACCATATTTGTCAAAATGTGCAGCGTACAACAGCAATGCACTGTTATTCTAGCATAATATATATACTATTCTAGTATTTATTTATATTTGAACTTTCCGTTTTCATTGAAGTTTTAGCAATTTCTGTTTTGTTTGTGATTTTTATTAGTTTTAGTTTATTTTATATTTCGGTTTAGCTTTAACTTTTTTCAGCTTTAGTTTTTGTAATTTTAGTACTTCAAATTCAACATTTTATTTTTAGCAATTTTTTTTCATCTAATATTTATATTTCAGCTTTACTTCAATTATTTCAGCTTTAGTTTTTGTAAGTTTAATACTTCAGCTTAAACTTATTTTATTTCAGCAAATTTCCATTTACGTTTTTCCATCTAATATTTATATTTATTTTAAATTTTATTTCAATTACCCAAAGAAAGTTTAATTGAAACATTTCTGTAATTACTGTTTTGTGTTTGTCATTTTTATTAGTTTTATTTATTTATTTTAATTTCTATTTAGCTTTATTATCTTATTTCAGGTTTAGTTTTTGCATATTGGAATTCAACGTCAACTTATTTTATTTCTGATCATTTTTGTTTTTTTAATCTACTATCTATATTTAATTTCAGCTTTATTTCAATTACCCAAAAGGTTTAATTTTAAATGAAGTTTTAGGAATTTAGTTTTGTGTTCGTCCTTTTTATTAGTTTTAGTTTCTTAATTTACTTATTTTAGTAAAATTTTTTTTTGTAATTTTGTAGTAGCACATTTCAAACACACCTTGTAGCCCAGTGCAGCGGTGTAGAGTTGAGATCTCCTCCCAGCTGATCGACTATGGCACCTTTAGATATGTAGTACCTAAAAAGAGCAGGCAGACAGACAGCATTCAGGAAACGAGACGTCTAGGCTTTATATCTTACAGTTGCACAAGAGAGCAGCGTAAAATGAATGACTGCGCTAGAGCAGGCGCTTATTAAGAGGAGGATATGCACACGCACACACAGTCTCGTAATGGGAATTTTAACGCTGACAGAGTAATAACTCTATCCATTCCTCTGTGTGCGTATGTGTGTGGTGTCTTAATAACGGGAGGGGGGAAAAAATCTAGGGATCCAGGAGAGAACAGGGAATGTGTATAAAATGAATAAGAGAGAGACGTACTTGACCAGGTCTATGCGGTTGTTGATCGCCGCCCAGTGCACAAGAGAGCAGCGTAAAATGAATGACTGCGCCAGAGCAGGCGCTTATTAAGAGGAGGATATGCACACGCACACACAGTCTCGTAATGGGAATTTTTAACGCTGACAGAGTAATAACTCTATCCATTCCTCTGTGTGCGTATGTGTGTGGTGTCTTAATAACGGGAGGGGAAAAAAAATCTAGGGATCCAGGAGAGAACAGGGAATGTGTATAAAATGAATAAGAGAGAGACGTACTTGACCAGGTCTATGCGGTTGTTGATCGCCGCCCAGTGCAGGAGTGTGACATTTTCTTTATCCGGCTGACGCACATCATATCCGGCCTCCACCAGCTCACGGCATCGCTCCAATATGCCATACCTGAGCACACAAACAGCTCAAATTACACCACAAAACATCCCTGAACAACAGCTTTTATCCAGTTTGCCAACATTGGTGTTCACTTTGTCAGCTGTTTTTTAATTTAGTCTTAGTCTTGTGTCAAATGTCCTTTTCTTTTTTTAATCATATTTAATCAACCTATCCTGTTTTTTGTTTTATCAAGTTTTAGTTGACTAACCCCCGGTTTCACAGACAAGGCTTAAGCCTAGTCCCAGACTAAAGTGTAAGTCTGACTGATCTTAAAATATATCAGTGCCTCTGTTTTGTCTCAAAATGCACACCAGTAATGTTTTTTCTAAGGCACGTTAATAAAAATTACTTAAATGTCCTAATTGAACTAGTGCCTAGTCCTGTCTGTGAAACCAGGTCTAAATGTCTGGCAATTTTAGTCTAGTTTTAGTCAATAAATATAAACACACTCTCTACATTTTGAAAACTGGTAAAACTCAAAAGAGTCTCTCAAAAGCTAAAACAGAGACTTTCCTAGTGTTAATTCCAATAATTCAGAATTATATTCATGCCTTTCTATTAAAAAACAATAGACTTTGTATTGTGGCACAGAGGTTGCGTAAATGCATTTATTGAGCAACCTCAAATCACAAACAAGAATGTGCAGCACTTTGTTTGCTAAAAAAAAATTAAAGGGTTTGTTTAGTTTTCATTTGATTAAAAGATGAATTAATGTTTTTACCAGAAAAATTAAAATACACAACACAGAATGAAAAAAAAGTAATAAATTAAGTTTATATAAATACGTTTTTATGAATTAATTGGACATTTTGGCTTTTTAATTATTTAAATTAAATTAAACCATTGAAATGGAATCCAGAAAAATTAAAATACAAAGCACAGAATTTGGTAAACATAAAACGGAATTTGAGAAAAAATAAAGCATATTTCGTAGGGTCCTAAAAAATATTTTTTTGTTGCATTTTTAATAAATTATTGTTAAATTGATTTATGATTTCAATTAATTACTTATACATGACTTTTGACTACTCAAATTTTATTTAACCATTAAAACAGAGTCCAGAAAAATTAAAATGGAGGGGGAAAAAAACAGAAAAATCGGAATCCATAAAAATTAAAACAAAAAGGGAATTTGGAAAAAAATTAATTGGAATTTGGGAAAAAATCAAATGGATTTTATAGGGTCCTATGATAGGGGGATTTAAGCTCTTGACATCTGGCAACCCCAAGCATGAAAATTCATGGAGGTCTCTATTTTTTCTCCTCTTTCATGTCGAAGAAAATATAGAGAAATTCTGGATATAGAGAGCTTTAATTTTTTTAAACTACATTTTAGTCTCGTCTATTTTCGTCAAAGATACCGAATATTAATATAGTCACAGTTAGTGTTTAATTATGTCACTGTCTTCTCGTCTCAGTCGTGGAAAGAAAGGAATATTTTTTGTCATAGTTTTTGTTAATAAAATTAACACTGGCCAACAAACACAAAAAAGTGTCAAATGGAAAGTCTTATGCGTCCACTGATAATACGACGCTGTGTTGACGACATGATCATCATCAGATATTTTTGAGTCAGGAATATTAGTGTAGATGGTCGTTCCGGTGTGTGTGTGTGTGTGTGTGTGTAGACTCACTGGGTGGCTTTGACGATGTCCCAAGTGCTGTAGTCGTCTACGTGGCTCTTGCGGCTGACGCTCTCGCTGTAGTCATGATTATAGTGACTCTGGGGTTTAATTTCCTGTGGGAGAGAATCACAGTCAGTTCAGTTCATCATCAGATAGAAGGATGAGTGATGGATGGTAGGGCTGTGCGATTAATCGAAATCGAATCGAAATCGCGATTTGAGACGTTGCGATTTCCTAATCGCAAAGCCTGCAATATGGACGCGATATTACTCTGTTCCAGAGCATATGCATGACTGCCAGCCTTGAGTTGGCACTGAGGATCTTGGGCACAATGTGTCATACGTACGGTCAGTCTCCATGGTGACAACGAGCTCAAAGACACACACACACTGAAAGAGGCTTTTAAAGGGGCCGTATCATGGAAAACAGGATTTTCTTGCTCTTTGATGCAACTAATGCCTAGTTCACACTGCACGATTTTCAAAGACGTCGCATCACTGTTGGTTTCACACTGAACGACTATCTGGGGTAGCATTCAATTGTTGTTGTGTTCACACTGCACGATGGAACTACGACAGGGGGTTTCACACTGCATGACTTTACAGTAGGAAGAATCGCCGACAGCTCTGTCTGGTGCAGGGTTGCCAGGTTTTCGCTACAAAACCCACCCAATTACTACTCAAAACTAGCCTGAAAATAGCCCAATTGCTTTCGAGGGGGTCCCCCAGTAAAAATCACAGCGTGATTGTGAATCGCCGACAGCTCCAGATATTTAGCATGGCAATTATTTCACGGGTGTTGGCGACGCGTCGGCGATTCCCTCAGATCGCGTCTTTGATAGTTCACACTGCGTGATTGTCACTCGCGTGAACGAGCACCGATTTGCCTCCGATTTCGGGCATTTGTCAGCGATTTCGCAAAACCTGTCGGTGAGTGAAAAATCGGGCTAAAATCGTGCAGTGTGAACTCGGCATAAACGTATACTGAAACTGCACAATTAATCATATTTTAATCGTGATCACAACTTCTGCTTGTCTCGATTATTTAAGCATAATTGTCTGTGACATTCGCAATATATCAAAACATGAATCTTGACTTGTTTGCAATTGGGCGTATGAACTGACATTTTCCTTCTCTGTGCTTATGTGAAAGTACAATAATGCTAATTAAATGTAAAAATAAATTTCTCAAATGAAAACAATCATGATTTTTGAGCAAAATAATTGTTCACTACAGATTTGTTTTCTAAAAAGCCTGCATATAAATTTATATTTTATTTTATAATTTAATATCATTTTTATTTTAGATTTTATTTATATTGTTTCATTTTATTTAATTTATATTTATTTCATTATGTTTTATTTTATTTTATAACCACTCAAAAAATTTTAGTTATTTTATGCTTTCACTATTGGGCAACCCTAACTAAAATGCAACTGCAAATATAGCTTATTACTTCATCGTTAGATGTCTTAACTATAAGCATATTAACATATGACCAGCCATTTTTACACATCTTTTCCGGCCCATCTTGGAAAACTATGGCAGTTACCTGAGGTTAACTAATCATAACAAATGCTATTTTATTGATTTATTTATTAAATTAACAGTACAGTAGCAAAAACCATCATTTTAATACTATTGGTCAGCAAGAAAGCAGTTCAAGAAACTTCGTCTAACATTATAATTAGACTAATAAACCCCTCAGTCTGCATGTGCTCACAGGTCACAGGTTAGGGGAGGGTGTGTGTGTGTGTGTGTGTGTGATGACCAGCAGATGTCCAAGACGTCAGCCCTATTGATTGCTGAGGAGGCTCTCTGTCTATTGTATTAAAAGCCATTCTGACCTGAACCTCTAGCTGTACCCTGTACACCAAACCCTTTCCAGGAATTTTTTTCTTTTACTTTTAAATAAAAGTATTTATTTATTTTACTTTTTATTCAATTGTATATTTTTATTTTATAATTTCATATATTTTTTATTTTATTTTACATTTTGTTTATTTCATTTAAATTTATATTTATTTTATATATATTTTATAACCACCACTGAATAACCACTCAAAAATCCACTACAAATATATTTTTATGATTTTTAGATGTAAATGAAGTATTTGTTCTAAAATAACATAATACACATTGACAAAATATTATTTAATTATAAACCACAATCATAGAAAATGTGATGTATAATCAGACTATAACTATAATCGGACTATAATCAGATCTGTAGTATATTAATATTAGACTACAGACATTATTACACTAGAAGTTATTTAAACACCACAAATTTCAAATAGATGTGTAAAAACACTGTAAAATAAGACACCTTCTGGCAAAAGCTTGAACAGATGCAAAGGGCAAACAAAAAACACCCACAGGACACAAGGGAGGTCTGGCAAACACACCGAGCTCCCTTTATGTGTGTGTGTGTGTGTGTGTATGTGTGTGTGTGTGTGTGTGTGTGTGTGTGTGTGTGTGTAATGCCAGGCCAGCAGAGACATGGGACATACACACCGGCCACAGAGATTCATGTATGAAGATGATGAACGGGCAAACACAGTAAACGAGAATGCATTTATAATAAGTGGCATTTCAAATAATCCTTAAAAATGCTCATAAACTCATTAGTGAAGAGTAAACGGCAGGGACAGAGTAACACGAGTCAGTAATAGGCAAGAACCTGCACATTTGCACCCATCACAATGACTAAATATAAAGCCCTAGTTGTTACTTTTACAAACACACCCCACACCGATCCGTCTAGACACAATTGTACATATTATCAATATCAACACAAAGATTCATCAAGCAAGCCTAGCAGGATCATCTGAATCCACAATTACCCTACAGCGAAGCATCCCGAATGAGAATCTGCGTGAAAAGGACATACAAATGGACAGCGCAGTCAAATCTTTATTTCTAAAAGGTTCTTTGAGAGGTCAGAGGTCAGTCCAACAGCAAGTACATTAACTGGGGTCATCCATCAAAAGTTAATGATCCAGCACAACAACACAACATACAGCCACAACCTTGCTGAAATTGATCTAGCTGGCTGACATTTGACCTCTGAAATCGAGACAAAAAATGTGTTTAGTCAAAAATATATGAAATTTATAATGGCCTATGATTTGGATGTGGTAAATATGATCTTTAACTTTAAATACTTAACTTACTTTAACACATGAACCAGAAACAATATCAACTGTGATTTTTTTAAAAATATTTCCTTGACTCGTAATTTAATAAAATTTTTAAAAAATGCAACAACAAAAAAAATCCATTATGATAACTGTGCTCAGGCGCTGCGGTCAAAATAAAAGTCCCATCACTGTCAAAATAAAAGCTGCTTATCAAAAAACCTGCAAAATATTGGCCGATATATCGGCCTTGCTAATATATATCGGTCAACAACTATATATATTATATTTATATATATATTTAGCAAGTACAGTATGTTAGTATTCCATTAGAAAACATGGTAAATGTGGCATAATAGTGAAATTACAGCAGGGCAGACTGAACCGAGGAAATCTCTGCTAGCAGATGTGCACCTAATCTAATTTTAAGTCATACGCATAGCATTAATGCAAATCCAGGTTATTATATACCATTTCAACGATCAGAGAAACAGATATGTTATGCAAGACAGTACAGATTGCCAAACAGAACTGATAAAATGAGCAGCAGGGAGATTCAGCATCACCGGCAGACTTTTATAAAGGTGTCTGGTTGTTTGACTCAATATTTTTGTGCCTAGTAGCAGAGCAGTTGGTCTAATTCAATATGGACCTAATGTTCCTCCTGCCAGTGAGGAAACGAGCGGTTACAGCATCTGTGGGACCATGCGACACATACTGAGATGCTTGGTTTCCTATTAAAACAGGAAGACATTAAGTAGCGCTGGGCGGTATACCGGTTCATACCGAATACCAGTGTTTATTTTTGTTATGATATTAATTTTTTAAATACCGCAATACCGGTGTATGTCACTTAATTTAATCTGAAATAGCAAAAATATTATTTTAATAATAATTAAATAATTTAAAATAATTACATTAAAATATATATGTTTTTAGCCATAGTTTTAGTTAACTTTGATAACCCTGCTTCCAATAAGAATTTACTTCAGGTTTTACTTTATGTCCCACCTTTTTTCCCAATCAACAACTGGAACAATGCTTCATATTATAATATAACCTTTTGATAATACATCACAATCCAAATTATGAGGACAGCTAAACTATTCACCATTTCTCTCTCAAAAGGTCACATGCAAAACACCGTCTATATCATGGTTTCATGTTCTAGCCTCTAAATCAACCAGACATGACAGATAGCACACACACAAAAGTCATTTACATTATATAACATTGTCTTCAGCAAATTGTGAGTAAATATTATATTAAGTCCCTTTAAGGTTATTCTATAGTCTTTGATATTATGTAACATAAACATTTGCTATTGTTATGCATTAAATTTTAAATACATAAATATTACACACTGTCTGTCTTCTCTGCAGATATCAGTATAAGCATCTGTCATTTAAAAAAAAAAACATCGGCTGACCACTAATTATTATTAGCCTATAATATTAAAACATCATGCATAACAATAAAATTAACTTCTCAGGTATTCTGAGATTTTCCTTTCAGTCCAACAGGTCAGCGTGTGTTAGTATGACTGCAAGCCAAGGGTGAAGTTCCCATTCACTCAAACTACATGTGTGTGATCAGCTCTATGGTCAGTCTGCTTGAGTATGAATAATTTACAGCAGGAGGTCCCATATGAGCAAGCAGTCTCACAACACACACCAGCAGTGAGCTAAACGCTGGGTTTGCAATAAAGAAGTGTGAAAATGAATGCAATTATTTTTCATTGATTGCATTTTTGAGGTGTCATGTTATGATTTAGTAATTAACCTGTTTATAAACTATTGCACATATAAAACTATGGAGCTTTATATGGAAGAATTACATGTTTCATGCAAAACTTCCCTACATCAACACATACGGTCAATGCAAATTTCGGAAATGATTCGGAATTATGTAAATCAATCATTGCAGCAGTGATGATAACATTTATCTATGAATATATTAACGAAAATATAAGAGTCAGAGATCAGAAACAGATCTGTCATTATATTAATCTCACCAAAATGCAGTCAAACGCAGACTTCTATAGTGTCCTAAAGGCATAGTAATAAAACAATATGGCACAATCAATGTTCAAATGATGGTGGTGTTGTTTGTGAATGTTGTCTGCCATTTAGATGCAAACGCAGCACAACACATTGTGAAGACTTCCACAAATATGCTAATGTCACGTTTGCCACTGCACAATATAGAATAAAAACACACCTCTTGCCTTAAAATATGACATTAGACATGCGATGAAACGACAGATAAAAACATAATCAATGAGTATGAAAGGCTAACATTAGCAGCAATGCTATTACGCAGCAGTGGGGGGGACTCAGTCCTTCTCCTTCACTGTGAGAAGTTCGCGGTAGAAATTACGCTTTTACTGGCTTTTACTTCGTTTCGCATCGCTGCCGTGCTGCAGCTGGATAAAGACGCTGGGTTTTTTTACCTCGGGATGGAGGATCGGGACGCATCCAGTTTCTTTCTGAAATTCATCCAGAGCGTCCGCCATCTTGCTTCTCGTCCACGCGGAGCATCACGGGAGAAACATTTAGGAGGCGATAAACACGCGCGTGCACAAGGAAGCGGAGGGCTCGTGCGCTAGATTGCACCTGATGTATATCAATGTAATATATTATATATTACACCAGTAATAACCTATAGGTATTTTAGCCAGTTTACTGACCAATTTATTTTTTTATTTATTCATTTATTCAGTTTCAGTGAGTACCGGCAGCTATATGGAACATGGCAGTAATTAATAAAATCTGTGGTTTGATATAGCTAATGTTTTTGTTTTTAACATTTTTAGATTTTTTAAGTTTCAGAGAGCAATAGCTTATATGAAAATACCAATAATTAATCAAATCTGTGTAAAAATGGCAAAATCAGTAGGTTGAAACATGCATATGTAATATTTAGCCAAACAAATTAATTGAAAAATTAACAATTAATAAAAAAAAAAATATTTCCTTTTTAACCTATACTAGACATCAGGAATCATACAATCATACAAGATGTCGTAGGATTATTACAAGATTCATCAAATAAAAATATATATTTCCTGTTTTATACACTCTAAAAAATGCTGGGTTAAAAAGGGACAAACCCAGCTATTGGGTTGTTTTGACCCAGCTATTGGGATGTTTTGACCCAGCTATTGGGATGTTTTGACCCAGCTATTGGGATGTTTTGACCCAGCTATTGGGATGTTTTGACCCACTAACTATAAACCCAAATACCAAAGATACATCAATAATCATAAAATAGAAGACATCCAGATTTTTTCCCCTGGGTTTCTCATAATTAAAAGACCAAAACAAATCCTCAGTTTGCAGATCACAGAAAGAGCAATTTGTATTTTATTTTGTTATAAATTATAGAACTCACTTTATCCCAATCAATGTCATTCAAATCCCTGCTCTAATAACAGATGGTATTAAGAGTTAATGCATATGCTTTACCTGCATTACTGTCGATACATTACGTCATCGACCTACTTTATTAATTTTTTTAAACACTTGCCTAAGGAATAGAAAAGTGAAAAACATATGCCAAGGAAAAGACGGGTTCAAGGATGGACAAACAATACATAGCAATTCAAATTCAGAAGAGAGAGAGAGAGAGAGAGAGAGAGAGAAAATAAAAAATAAAAATAAAATAACAACAACAAAAAGCAATTACATTACAAATAAATAAATGGAATTAAACAGATCACATAACAATAAACATAACAATCTTTCCTACAAAATATAAAAATGAAAAATAAAAATTATACATAAAATTAACATCAAAAAGTGAACATACTGCACATTCAAAGTTTTAGTTGCCTTTTTGATACAGGAGGTAATATAGATCTTAATATCTTCTTGAAAGTAAGAAAAATTGGGGATAACTTATGCATCTGCTGTATTACTGTCGATACATTACGTCATCGACCTACTTTATTATTATTATTATTTATTTCATAAATGTATTCATAAATATTTATTTATTTATTCAACTGTAAGCAGGTCCATGTCAAATTTTACCAAAACTATGAAGCCAGTTTATTTTTTATATTTTTTCTCTCTCTCTGTCTAAATATTTTGCTCATTCGTGGAATGCAATGCGCTTATGTAATAAAATAAAGGTTTTATTTCCCTGTTTTGACGCTGACTACCACGCGGCGGCAGCCTCGGATTGCTTACATTTTTCTAGTCCTTTCCATGTTTATTTAGTATGCTGTGTTAACCAAAATAAAAGAACAACCCATTCTTTAAATCAGGTCCAAACAAAGAGTAAACTGCTAATATATGTGTAAAACATTTTGTGATACTGTATTCATAACCTATATTTATTTCCTTTTCAAAGCAATAAACACACACGCTACATATGATACATAATCATCTACAGTCCTTTTACGGTTTCACAAGCCGTTAGACTTTTAATATGATTTTTAAAGACCCTCCGTATACTTAACGGACTAACAGCCTAAACAACTGATCTGGGATCTGCCTGAATTTTTAAATTAAACTGAGGCGATCGAGCGTTCCATCTCAGAGACCTGATCCTAGACCTGCTGCTTTCGCCTGCTTTGTATTTTCGAACGCCGATCCCTCGAGCGCGACAGACAGAACCCAACGATCGCGGATAAACAGTCTCACAGGGGAAGGAAGACGGACGTGCGGTTGTATCGCTATTCGGGGCTTTTATATTGCATCAAAACGCGTTTACGGTTCACAGATAAAACGTTTTAGATCTCCCCCGCGTGAGTACCTGTCAATCTGCGTTAAAACGCGCCTGAGACGTTTTAACTCGTTAACTGATGGACTGACAGACGGATTCTCCTCAGACGACGCAATCTATTCAATTCACATTTTACCTCATTCTCTGAAGTCAAAGCCTGTGTTTTCCCTCAGGAGGACTTCGAGTGGACAATTAAGGTTAGTGCTTGTGTTTTGTAATTCTGTATTTACATACATATAACCCATAAACATCACTCTGCGGGCTGTGTCCTAAAACCTAGTGAGCTGTCTATCTAGACAGCATATTTGAGCATCGCGGCGTTTTTGGGCGGGAATCATCGGTTCAGGTAGCATATTTGTGCATTATAGAGTTTCAAAATATCAGTCTAGATAGATATTACTGTATAAATATACTAGTGTCAGTGTTGTGACACGTCCACTGTAATACTATAGTATTCCTCAAGTACCTAAAATGCAACAACGATGCGGTCTAGTTAGGTTTTTGAAAATGTAGCCTGCATGAAAATGATGTTGCAGATCTTGTTGATATACATGTGCACGTATGGATCATCCTCCCTCATTCAGATCAGATTTTCTGATCATTTTAGACCTGATTGTCTTGAAATCCACATGAACAGGTTGAGTTCAGTCTTTAGTGTAGTGAGCATGTATGTTATGTAAGCGCTGATGTGACACACTCCAGCTGCTTTTGTTGTTAACCTGTTAAACAATAATATTTATCTAAGCAGACCTCCTTTACAAATATTTAGGGGCAAAATACCATTGTTATGAAAATGCAATCATAATAAATATATATGGGGTCTTTTTCAAAATCTTCTATGCCTTTTCCAAAAGTACCATGGTATGACTGTACAGCATCACTATTTTATATATCAATATATATATATAGAAATGCCATGGTATTACCGCCTGCATCCACCAGTAAACCGTGGTACTAGCTTACTACTACAGTATTTTTATTTATTTATTGTAAAGGACACATTTGCTTTTTAACAGTTTTATTATAGTATTATAAAAAATATTGTTTTCCAAAGTTATAAATAAAACAAAGATTAGTCAAGTATGTTTTACAATAAATTACTCATTTTGTTTTTCTGCTTCAGAATTCCACATTTAATTCAGTGTGTTAGTTTTTGTAATTGTTGGGAAATTTATTAGTGAAAATTGTTTCTACACCAAATTATTTTCAGTGTAGTATAGTATTATCACTAGTAATTTGGAGGAAACTATGCTTACCATGGTAAATTTCTGTCATTTGTCTTTAATATTCAAATATATCTGGTGCAAATTTGAGATTTATTGTTTTGTTTACCCTATAATTACCTCATCCCATTAATGTTTTCATTGTGGTAAATCCCAAATTACCATAATAGTAGTCTTATAAATGGATAACATGTTATAGTAATAAATTATGATAGTAATAACAGTAACAATGTCATTAAAAGCAACTTCACAGAGTTAATTAGGTTTTAATTACATGAATTTGACTACAAAACTCACTCTCATTTACACCGTTTAGCCTGTATTGTTGTTTCAGGCTTTGATGTCTTTGATTAGACGAGAACGGATATACGGCCGCGCCAAAATCTTCTGTTTCTGTGTGCGTCTTTGACCGTTGCGTAAAGGTTCAAGTTTCCACTTTCCCTTTTAGAGGCAGATTGAGTGCGCACTTCCACATAGCTTTCTGTGTCGCATTGTTGAAGTGAGGTAGTGAAAGTTCCTAACAATGCATGTTATATTTAGCGGTAGCAACTGCTACATAAACATGTAATCCTAAACCTGTTGTAAATATTATTAGCATGTCGAACACCTGATGTCACTGACGTTCGAGTCTGATATACAGCGGAGATCAAAATTAGAGAACAACCTACAATTTCCTACATTTCAAGGACACTGCTTAGTCCTATTTGAAGTTATCCTAACAGGAGTAGAAGGGCAGTTTTTTAAGCATATTTCATAAATTAATTGTAGTCTGAAACTCTTAAATGAGATATTTGAAAAAGAACTCTGATCAAAGTTAGAGAACACTTACAGATACATCCAAGTTATTGGTGTTAATCTGGCAGCTGGTGCTAATATCCTTAATTATATGACAAACCCTATTTAACTGGTAGCATTCCTGTAATTTTCACTGAGATTGCAAGATGGCGAGCCGCTCTAACTGAAACCCTGCGACAGGAGGTGGTCCAGATGAAGGCCAAAGGGATGATTCTTTCAGCCACTGCATTGCTCTCTTGTTGATTTTGATTGCTTCCATTGTCCTCATTTGTAAGTCGCATTGGATAAAAGCATCTGCTAAATGACTAAATGTAAATGTAAGAGAAGCTGGTTATTCCAAGATTTCTCAAATATTGCAGCTTTACATGAGGGTCTTTCGCACCGCTTTAGTTCCAGAACTAAATGTACAGTACTAAAGTACTGGGACGATTTTGCGCAAACTATTTCCCAGTACCATTTAAAGGGTTGCATTCGCACCGACAGTGTGTACTAAGAAGTGATGTAAGCCGGTCGACAGCGACGTCATTTGTGCGCCGGGTTCAACAACAGAAACAAAAAAGAACAACATTAACAACAGGAGGATGGAATTTTGAGTCCCCCGAAAAGGCTGGTCGTCCATGTAAGACAAGTGCACGAGAGGACAGGATAATGTGGAGACTAGTGTTGTCACAGTACCAAAATTTCAGTATTCGGTACCATTACCAGTGAAAATCCACGGTTCTCGGTACCAATTTCGGTACCAAAGCAAAACACAAAAACATGCTAATTAAAAAATTTGACTAAACTTTCATTTAATCCAAACTGTGTACATATTTCATTTTAAAGGGCTTTTGAAAACCTTCTAGAGTTATTCAGCCAATGGTTACATTCACTTTATTTGTTTTCATAGCCTTTAATATGTATTGTTTTGTTGGACAACATTGGGTGGTAAGTGAAATATATATATATATTAAATACAGATTTTTAAAATCCAAATACAAAAAAAGAAAATACCGAGATATATACCGTATATCGCAAATCGGTCAAAAAATACAGAGATATGAATTTTTGCCCATATCGCCTAGCCCTAGTTCAGCACTGAACAGGGTAAGGATCTGTCTCGGCACGTTTAAGAGAAGTCAGACTGAAAGCGCATTCTGCAGTGACCAAGCCTCTCATCAGCAGAAAGAATCAAAAGGCTAAGCTCACCTTTGCTGAGGAGCATGTTGTATGGAGAGAGGAGAACTGGTCTAAAGTTCACTTTAGTGATGAGAGCAAGTTTAATTTATTTGGGTCAGATGGGAAACATTATGTTCGGCGTCAAACTGGGGAAAGACTGAACCCCGAGTGCGTAAAGAAGGTTTTGGGGATGTTTTGTGCAGCAGGAGTTGGGCATCTTATACAGCAACATGGCAGGTGAATGCAAATGTTTATCAGAATTCAGAGCCTCCTTCAGCAACATGCTATACCTTCCCTGCAAACATCTCCTAATCAGCTTGCAATTTTCATTTAAGACAATGCTCCCGTCACACTGCAAAACAGGTAAAGCAGTTCCCTGAAGCTGAAAACATTGAAATAATGAAATGGCCAGTCCAGAGTCCTGATCTAAACCTGATTGAAAATCTCTGGAAAATCCTTGGTGACAAAGTTATGTCTTAAGAAACCCACCACAGTTACTGAACAATGGAAGAGAGTGGAAGAAGAGTGGACCAAGATCACACCAGTGCAGTGTGAGAAACTAGTGATGTCCAGCGGCCGCAGATGTGCTGAAGTCATTCAAAGCAGGGGCTTCTACACTTCCTACTCGTTTCTGACAGCTGTAACCCTCCAACATTTTAGTTGTAATCTTATTTCGTGCTACAGTGGTTAATGTTCTCTAATTTTGATCACTGTGTTTTCCACAAAATAAAGGTTTTTGTTGAAATGCTTTGTTTATTTTGTCAGACATGTTAGTAGAACAGTGAAATACCAACAGGTAATATTACTTAAATTTTTGAGTGATGAAGACTAACAATATTTCAGAAAAAAAATCAAGTATTTATAGATTGTTCTCTAATTTTGATCTCCACTGTAGATCTGTGTTGAAGATCCAAACTTCAAAAGAACATAATATTTATGTTGTTGTCACTGCATTTTTCTTCAGTAATTTCAAAAGATTGTTTGGTTCGTATGAAAGCGTGCACGTGTACGACTCAAACAAAACATTATGAGAGACAGTGATCGTCATTTGCCTGTCAAATAGAGTTTCCATTCCTGTGTTGTTGTGCGTTACTGACGCTGCTGGTGTGTTTTCGTCTTATTTTGCATACTGTTACCAACTGAGGACACAAGTTGATTCGCCATTGTTGTCCAACTATTTCTGGATGCAACTGTAATTTTTTTTTTTTTATACAACCAATCAGTGTTGGGTGTAATGCATTACTAAGTAATTAAAAAGTAAAGTGGATTTGACATCAAAATTGAACATCTAATGTTAAAATGTAGCTATGTTTTCAATATAACCTCTCTTAAATACTTTGGTGAGTAGGCAGTTTTTTAGTATTTATATGAAAGAATTAAAAGAGAATTTCATGTCTATCTTTGTATGGGATTTAGAAAGTAATAAGGAATGCAATACTTTTAGAAAGTAATTAGTACAGTAATCTAATTACACTGTTGAAGATGTAATTACTAGCTAGTAATTAATTACTTTTTTAGAGTAACTTACCCAACAACGCAACCAATTTGCTTATCCTTCCGCTAAAAGATCTGAGAATTGAGAATTATTGTTATAATGTCAGTGTTGACATGATAACAATATAAAGTTGCATTTATTTATATATTTAAAATAATGTAATATTATTATTAAATAATATATTAAATAATACAAATATATTTTTAGATAATATTATTTTTATATAATGTTATATATTATATATATATATATATATATATATATATATTTAGAATTTTTTGAAAACTTTCAACATTTTTCATGAATGTTATTTTATTTCACTTCAAGTTTTTTACTTTAAGCAACAAAAATGTTTGTTTGTTTTATTTTAGTTCCTGACAAATTAGAGATAATATTTGATTTTAACAAACAGAGCACGAGTGTAGTCTGATCACAACAAATTACTTGTGATGAATCATTCAAAGATTCTTTGTTAATAATTAATAATGTAATCTTAATTGTAAAAGCCCAGCGTACAGATTCCGTT